GCTCGCGTTTGTCACCGAAGGGTGACCTTGAGAGGTCAGAACTTTCTGACGGACGCCTGTTATTTTTTGGGTGAATATTCTGGCATTTGCAAGTTGAAAATCGGCCGGTAATTTTTGGGTGACATCGAATTCCCCGTCCTTTGACCCAGCTTTTGGATCTTGAAGGTCACATGATGTTGCAAAATAATGGTCATTTTGGTGTTCTCATGCCTCAAGCTTCTTCAGAGAAATCAGAACTCGTTGCTGAATAAATCGCTAAGTTCACGGATATGAGAATGCCCACCACCGAGGAAGGTTGGACGAGGCGGATTACGTAACGACGCTGTTGGGAAGACATGCGAAGGATATCGGCTGATAGCCACAGTTTTCCACCACAAGTCGCATGACCACCACCTCATCTCGGACAGGGGTGACGCGCCCGCCCTGGATATCTCGCTGGACCTAGCGGGGCTCAGCGCTGCACTGGGCAACACTTACTCTGTCGGCGAACTCTGTGTGTGCCGAGTCCAAAAATCCCTGGATCTCCTGTTCTGCGAGCGGGATTGAAGCAGTTTAAGTGGCAATACCTTGCGAATGCAATGCATGTTTGAACTGTACACTCTATTGCCTGTCTGAAAGAAAATGACATGCCTAATCATACTCTCCGTGTTGCAGGGCACAGCCTCTCACGGCTCCTCTAGCTTCAACAATGCGCAAGCCAGCAACATCCGCGGCAGCAACGGCGTCAGCCACTCCTTTACCAGCTCCTCATCCAAACAGTTTGGAGGCAGCTTGGGCAGCGGCTTTGGTCAGCTCGGAACGGGATTTCAGCTGTTCGGCGGTGGTTTTAACAACCTCGCAAGCTGTCTTAACCTTGGAGGTGGCCTGCTTGGAAGTGGCTTGGGCAATCTCGGAGGAGGCATCAGTCCTCTCGGAGGAGGCGTCGGTCAGCTCGCAGGAGGCATCAATCCTCTCGGAGTAGGCGTCGGTAATCTGGGAGCAGTAGTCGGTTCTCTCGCAGGAGGCATCAGTCCTCTCGGAGGAGGCATCGGTCAACTCGCAGGAGGCATCAACCCTCTCGGAGTAGGCGTCGGTAATCTGGGAGCAGGAGTCGGTTCTCTCGCAGGAGGCATTAGTCCTCTCGGAGGAGGAGTCGGTTCTCTCGCAGGATGCATCAGCCCTCTCGTAGGAGGCTTCGACCAACTCGGAGGAGGTGCGATCCACTTCGGGGCCTGCAGTGTCGGCCAGCTCAGTAATGGGTATGGTAATGGCGCGAGCCATTTACGTACGTACATATTTACATATTTACGTACGTACCGCAAACGGCCGGCTACAGCGAGTACCAGCAGAGCAGCTCCGGTGGAATCGCTGGCGGGTTTGGCGGCCGGCCGGTGGGTTATCACGCAACGATCAGCGGTGGACACTAGTGGCTGTTTACAGACTTAGGTGACACTGCATGAAGGTTGGTCAAGTGCATCCCTCTGTGTTTAGTTTATCGTGCAGTTTGGAAGTGGCTATACGCGCACCATAGCCTGCTGCCTTGGCGGGCCGCGGGATAGCGCACTATGTTGTGGTGTAGGACCAGCCACGAGCAAGCGTGCCGGTGTGTGTTTATTTCAACACGTGCATGAAGCGTGATTTCTGCGCGAGCAGTGTTTTCAGTGGACGCAACTGTACTGCAAGGGCATCTTTGGGTACCTCCGCCCGGCACAGCGGGCCGTATAGTGGTGGGGTCTACCGTACCATACCACCCGACAAACAGCAGCCCTCGGGCACAAAATCCTCCGTAAGCCGACACGGAGTGTCTGGTGTCCGCTGCGGCGGGAGCTCTCGTTTGTCTTTTCTCTCTTTGAAGGGAGGCCCTAAAGCCTCCTAGTGTATGGTAGTCGTGCTAATAGTGTGGTGACATGCCTGCTGAAACATGTGTAGCATGGACAAACATTTAACGCATTTGATGTAATTTTTCTTAGATACATTTTTGGATTTCTCTCTGGATTCATTTCTTGGCTTACTTTTATTATGTGTTAGCAACCTATGTGACCCGATGCAAAGCGCGAAAACCCTGAAGAGCCGAGGCACCCACGACTGACTGAAGCTGCTATGGAGGCCAAGTGGTTAAAAAAGCTCGTATTGATGGTAGGACAAGGAACAGTGTTCATGCCGCATTGCCGCATGTACTGGTAGACGCAGAACCGTTGTGATATGATGCGCCGACGACTGACTGACTCGATTTGATGTGCCATGGGGGCAATAAGCTAAGTGCAAAAAGTTGCTGTAACCTATTGGGTGCTAAAATACCGAACACAGCTTGTTGCACCTTGGTTATGCATTTTCCATGAAAATCAAAACAAAACAGTGCTCATCAAACTGCTAATCGCATCATCATTATTGGCCGTCAGTTCACAAGTACCAGCACTTCGCAGGGCCAAGTATCGTCTCTGGTTTCAGTAACCTATGTTGGTTGTATTGTATGTATGTATGGTTGGTATGCATGGGTGTGATCACATTGTCTAACATGTTCAGAATCCGTGTTAGGTACTACACATCTAACATCGCCATTCGATCTTTGAGCGGCACCCAGTTCACAAGTGTAGGACGACGCTTATCTAGCATGTTTTTGGAAACCAAGTATTATGTCCATGTCATCTCATATATGGTACTTCAGATGCGTATCTGTTCTCGGGCACACTAGCTGATAAAAAACCTAAACTGTGACCATTCTTTCCAGCTAGATTGCCGGCAGCGTCAAAAGAATGATTCACCCGCGCGACAGTAGGTGCCAACGTTGTTTTCACCCCGGAAAATGAAACAGTTGCGCCACTTTTTAGCGACATTGCTGGAATGCCAGATGTTACCAAACCTTCCGTTGTTGGTCGGACTGAAAAAAAAACAAAACCTTGGTTATTTGCAATCGCGCATCGCATAGTGGTATGAAGTGACATATACCCGGTTAAAAAAATTGTCATGTGTGATGACAAATTACATCACATTACATGCATCATTCCTTTCTTAAAACGTTAAGCGTGGTACCATAAATACCTCGTTAGATGACGCAGCGTTTTAGTCGGTGTGCGCACGTTGAGTGCCTCACAGTCAGACACAAATGGAGAGTTCTCCCGCATTTACAACATGTGGGGCAAGAGTAAGGTTCATGTCGCAATTGCATATGGTATTGCATAATTTGGTCTGACGCGCCATGATTAACATACCAGCTTTTCGTGGTATCCTTGCGGAAATAATGGGTATTCGCCAGGAAATGTACGCAAAATGCATCTAATTCCATATGGCAAAAAGCAATGTTCTTGCGCCACATGCTAGTACATTATAATGCTCATCATCACAGTCATGATAAGAAATTTCTCTCAACTACTGTCCAACTATGTGCACTTAATTTGTTTTTTTGGTGGTGGCCTAACATAATTAATATTAAAATAACCGTCTTGAAAAAATGACGCAAAGCTTCACCCTCTCTGAGAGCTCTTTCGCGCGGCACATCCTAGGGCCGTCGTGAGGGGGCCCCCGCTCCATCGCGTGCAGACGACTCACTGATCCGCTTAAAGGCGACCACCGTCGTGTTGGGCGCTGTCTGATCTGCCGGCCTTGACCCCAGCGGTCCTGGCTTCACCACACGGTGGCTCAGGAGTTCAGGCTCGTCCTGAACGCAGCACGTGGTCGCGGGACTGTCCATCCGGGGTGGGGATGGTAGCCCCCTGAGACGATCAGGGAGCGCGCGACAAATTTTGGGTCATGGTCATAGAATGGACCGAGTGTGGAACGGTGGCGGTGAGATATCCCGGGACGAGAAGGCATGAAGTGGGTACAACAGCGGGGCTGTGCTGGAGCAGTGTGAGATGTTGTGTACACTGTGTACACAAATTTATCAAGCATACAGTTTTCATGCCATGCTGCCGAGCTGCGCGCTCAGATGAATGCAAATTATTTACTTTTTTATTCGGAAATAAATTCCTCCTGCGTTCCGGAGTAATCTTGCATGCGCGATAGACTATCTGGTGACCCCAAGCTAGAGCGACACTGCAGTCGGTTGGGCTTATGACGCCCTTATCCGTGGAACGTTAGCCGAAATTTATCTAAAGCATACATGGTCGTATTATTTTGGACTTACGCAGCAACGACGGAGTACGTTAGCAGGGAAGCGTGAAGATTTGGGGGGCATTGCAGAGCACATTTAGGATCGGTATGAAAGGCAAGTTTTTATAATTTGGCGCATTGCGGTCGGTTAGGAATGTCACCTCTTCGCCATACCCGTAGCCAGTGGATTCTCAAGTATTGTTAGTCGTGACCTAGTTCAAACTTTACGTCCTTGATATACTGCCTGCTATACGTCCCTGAAAACCGGGCTGTTCCATGCGTTTATCAGACACAGGTGTGTCGGTTTCCATTTATTTCCGCCTTCATTAGCTCTTGGTTTGCTTGCTTTTTTGTAAGCTTGATATCATTTGCTTGATAATATTTGATGGAGCTCATGCCTGTCTGTCATTACGCTTAACCCACATGATAGTGGTCCTGCTAACATTTGTGGGATTTAAACCACTGAAGTTCGGTTCAATGTTTTGTTTAATTCAACTAAGCATTCGTGTGCTGAAATGAGTTGTATTGGCTCTAAATCTTGACGTAGACAAAACGTGTCACATATAGTGTAATTCCAATCTTGTTTCAGAGGGTAACGTGAAATTTGCGCGAGTACATCCTTGATGAGATCGCATAAGTTTATTTCCAATAGAGCGAATGGAATATAAATACATTACACGCAATCATCTTCTTATCACAGGAGTTTGTTCAATTATACTACAGACAGTCACTTGTGCGGGATCAAATAAACAGGAAAAACAAGACGTAGGGCGCCATGGCTCGCATGTCTATTGATCTCTAACAATGCCTAGCTTGTGGCCATCGATCTTCAATGGTTCCAGCAGAGGGGAATACGTTACAAACTGGCTTGAGGCCACGTTTTCGATGCATACTACCACACAGGGCATACGACCCGTGGCTACCTTCTTTCAAACATACTCCAAAATCACGTGAAAGGTATCTGGCATACTGCTGCATCAGTCCATTCTTTCACTTGCGTGATGCTACTTTTATATATACTTTAGTGCGTTTACCATACAATAGGAAAAAGCTTCTATAGCGCCCAAAACCTCGTTAAAAAACTCTACCGGCATTGACTTTCCTAAGTACTTTACTTCGTAAGCCACTGTAACGCTAAACGGCCGATATTCCACCATCCCAGGATCGCATCAGCCGGCAACCAGAGCCACGGCCACCTCAGGGGTCGACGAAGGAGACCATGATGTAGCGGGTGCCGCTGGTGGTGGGCAGGCCCTCGTGCTGGTGGGTCAAGCGCCCGGGGTGCATCAGCAGCCAGCCGCGCCGGCTGTCCGTCACCGAGCAGTCCTGTCGCAGGAACCGACAGCCACCGCCCTGGGGCAGAGAGGTCAGCGGTCACGCTCTGGGGACGGGTCGGGCGGGGTCACTCGTGGGTCACTCTCCGGTCAAGGGTCGGGCGGGGTCACTCGTGGGCCACTCTCCGGTCAAGGGTGGGGTGGGGTTACTCGTGGGTCACTCTCCGGTCAAGGGTCGAGCGGGGTCACTCGTGGGTCACTCTCCGGTCAAGGGTCGGACGGGGTCACTCGTGGGTCACTCTCCGGTCAAGGGTCAAGCAGGGCCACTCGGGGCCACTCAACGGTCACGGGTCGGGCGGGGGCACTTGGAGGTCGCCCTCCAGTCACGGGTCGGGCGGGGTCATTCGTGGATCAGCCGGCGGTCACAGGTCGGGTAGGGTCATTCGTGGGTTACTTTCCGGTCACGGATCGGGCTGGGTCGCTCATGGGTCAGCCTGCGGTCAACAGAGCGAGCGCCGGAACCCACCGCACTGCGGCTAAACCTAAGCTGACGTAAGGCTGGGCTCACCTAATGCAATGAACAGAGTGCGTCACGAATATCGCGGGCTCTCGCGGGCAAGTCACCCACCAGACGCTGGACTATATCATTCAGTGTCTTACCCATGAACATCGTGAAGCACGCTTATTCGTGACCAACGTTGCCTTTCGCACTCTACTGCGGAAAAGCTCAATGCATTAAATTTACACCCGCTCCTTAGAGACCAACTAACGAGAACGTTCCCCTGCCACATGCGGCACACTTTGCGACGAGGTCAGCCGAGGACGGCGCGCTCGCCACCCACCTCGTAGTCCTTGCCGGGCGTGTTGAGCGCGATGTTGATGGTGTAGGTGGAGGCGTCGTGGTGCGGCACCAACGCCGGCTGCTCCTCTGGCTTGTAGCGCACCACGAAGTTGAGGTCCGCTACGGGTGGCTGGTAACGGAAGGGCGGAAGTGAGACGGGTCATTCCTTCGTTGTTCAGCGTGGAGAAGTCGAAGGACTCGAGAAATGCAGAATTTTGATTCGAGAGGTGCAGAAATTCAACACGAGAAATGCAGAAGAGATAAAGACTGGGGCCGGGTATTGCGTAACATACATACGACAGCAACGCTTCCTGAACATCATTTCCGCCCGTGAAAGGTCACGGGACCTGCGAGCGACACTGATTATTGCATTATTACACGCCTTAAATGCTTCCAATGAGACATTTGAAGGAAACCACACAGCAGTTATAAAAACGCACAGCTTGTAAAACATAGTTTTGTTTTTTACTTCGACCGCTGGCATCATTCTGTCCAGTGCAAAACCGAGGCGTGCACTGCACATGTATCATCGCTCTGCTACCACTCCCGGGTATGCAGTGCACTGTGCACGGCTCACGTCGTGCAGACCGTACCGTTCGCAACAATCACAGAGCAGCACCTCATCCGTTACGACTGCGCTCTGTCCGTTCCGACTACACTTCGTCGGTTCCGACTGCACTTGTCCGTTCCGACTGCACTTTGTCCGATCCTACTGCGCATTGCCCGTTCCGACTGCACTTTGTCCGATCCGACTGCACTTTGTCCGATCCGACTACACTTTGTCCGATACACCTGGACTTTTCCCGTTCCGACTGCACTTTGTCCGATCCTACTGCACATTGTCCGTTTCGACTGCACTTTGTCCGTTTCGACTGCACTTTGTCCGATCCGACTGCGCTTTGTCCGACCCGACTACACTTTGTCCGATACACCTGCACTTTTCCCGTTCCGACTGCACTTTGTCCATTGTGCAGCGTACTTCTTCGATCACCGTACGCCATCCATTCTGACCACCCCTGTGAACAGCCTGGCTGAGTGGCCGCCGCTACTCACATCCTCGTCGACTGAGCGGCCGTCGCTACTCACATCCTCGTCACCGAGGATGTGAGTCCGTCGCTACCCACATCCGTAGCGTCCGTCGCTACTCACATCCTCATCACTGAGCGTCTGTCGCTACTCACATCTTCGTCGACTGAGCGTCCATCGCTACTCACATCCTCGTCGACTGGGCGTCCGTCGCTACTCACATCCTCGTCGTATCCCGCGAAGACCCGCTGCTGGATCGGCTGCACGTAGTAACGCAGCACCATGTGCCACTCCCTGTCGTAGTCGATCTGGCTCATGTGGATGTCGCGGGTGGGCACGTTCTCGTAGCCGCCCGCCAGGCGAGGGTCCTGCCACGTGCCGGCTCGGTCAGCGTGGGTCGGTCAACGGGATCGAGTCAGCAGGCGTCGGGTCAGCGTGGGTCGGATCATCAGTGGGGTCAGCGTGGGTCGTGTCCCCACGGGTCGAGTCAGAGGAGGTTGGGTCAGCGGGGGTCGGGTCAGTGTGGGTCAAATCATGAGTAAGGTCAGCGTGGGTCTGGCCAACGTGGGTTGGGTCAACGTGGGTTAGCATAGCGGGAGTCGGGTCAGCATGGGTCGTGTTCCCTTGGGTCGAGTCAGAGGAGGTTGGGTGAGCGTGGGTTGGACCAGTGTGACTCGGGTCAGCGTAGGTCGGTTGTCATAGCTCAGGGCACGTGCTAGTGTGGAACGGCAGAAGAGGTATAGTAATGATACAATGCTTCCCCATATTTTGCGACAACTCTCGATCAACTTGAGTTGTCAATGTGGCCAAGTGAGCCAAGTGAGTCGACGTGGTCTCAGTTCAGCGCGCGGGGCGGTATAGCCAGCATTTGGCTACCGTTTCTGAACAGGTGCCGACCGACTGGTTGCTGTAAGCCGGATTGTGTAATTTTACTTGGTCGAAGCTATTATTCCTTAAATGGGGTCCATGGGCTACCAAAAATTGATGTGATCGTTGCCCCACCAGTCAATCCAAGCCTGTTTCCGTAAGTTGTTTAGTGCATGTGCGAGAAACATTATGCACATAGAAAAGACGGTAGTGATAGCCTTATTAGAAAAACCAGGGGGGGTAGAAATATAGATACGTTGATATTTTGGCAACATGCCTTTATCCAAACGGGTTTTCCTCCGAGGAACAAGGCTATTACTTCTGCCTTAACTACAAACCTGTTTCCCCCAAAATCGCTAACCAAACACGCCTTTAGACATCCGCATCGCCATTTTGTACGCCAACCTGAAGGACAGTTTCATGAAGGGGCTGCGCTCACACCAATTTTGACCAGTGATGTACCCGATGTGTTGCCACCTAGTGCACTGTTGCATAGTTCTTTTACGAGCTAAAAGTTCCAACCCTCCACCTCCCCCGTTTCCCATCAGCGGTACCGGGCGCCGAAATTATAACTTTGCTCAAGTACCGTACCGTGTTGGTGCCGCCGGACCACTGTCCGTGGTTTTCCATGGTTTCTATGAGTTCTTGGCAGAAACGCTCCGTCAGAATCGGGGCCCAAAACACATCGGCGCACGGCTGCAACACACCAGCGGGCACACGTCAGTCGTGATCGATATTGGCGACCACACCAGCATTCAAAGGATAGAAACTATGACTTCGATACAATTGGCAAACAACCACGACATTAATAGGAATGTAGTGTTGCCAGCGATGATATGCGTTTCGCTGCACGCTCTTTCAAGTCGTCTTCTTATACACTAAATTAAGACAAGGACACCGTACGTTGGGCGACTCGAAAGCGCCTGGCGTGCATCACCGCGCTCACACAGAAAGGTACAACCGTTCACCGACCGATACGTGTCGCAGACCGCATGGGCTGCTGCGAACAGGCAGCTGAGTAACTGAACGGTGCTGATTGGCCCCTGTGACCACTGCGAGCCACATCCTCCCATCGGCCACACCCCTGTTGGCCGGTGCTGACCTCCGCCACGGGCACGCTGGGGTCGAGGTTGCGGGAGTAGTTCTGGTGCAGGTAGCGGTGCTCCCAGTCCCAGCGGTTGGTCGTGACCTGCCACATTTCGTTGTGCAGGCGGGACGTGTTGAAGCCGCGGGGGTCCACCAAGTGGCCAAAGTTGGCTCGGTTCGAGACCAGCAAGAACTTGCCCTGCGGCATGCACCGTTTGAGTTAGACAGTAAATATCGCGAGACGCTGCTAGAAATGTCGAAGCATCATTCAAAATCAGACCACGCAGCAGCCCTATGCATATTGCAGCATTGGTTGTCAGTATTGCGAAGGTGGTTCAGCGCAGGGTGCATTAATTCATGCTAGCTCACATATCCTTAATCATATTTTCTTTGGGGCCTGTAGATGTCCAAAAGGAATGAACATCTAGTGCAATGATCTCGACTTCTAGGAATGCATAAAATTGCGATATCGGGTTATTCCAGCATCCAGATATCTCTCAGTGAAAGATAACTGTATCTAAACTTTAACTTTTTCGGAAATTTATGGAAAAGACGACTAACACAGACTTCGTAAGGCAAAATGCTCTCCTTCTCTCTCTCTACCTCACCGAATCGACTATGGTCTTGCTGAAGGTGTTGTGGACGTTCTCCGAGCCGTCCTCAAAGTCGGGACGTGTGGCATCATCACTGAAGACGCTCCGTTTAACCAGATAACACTCCGACACAAACGGCACGTTCCAGAGGCCTCTGGAAGGTCGGCAGACATGTCGCTGACGTAAGGCAACATCTGGACTATGTCTACGTGCACACCCACATGCATGACAGTGGCGCCATCTCTAGGCGTGGGAAGCGTGGGAACTAAGCGCCGGGGAGCAGCGTGGGAACTATGGGCCGGGGAACACCGCCTTCCACTTTTCGCACACATTTTACTTTGACCCTGTCGTGAAGCATGAAAGTACTGGATAGCAGTTTTGTCAGCCATTTTTCGGACCTTCCCATGGGCCTGCCCCTATCCCCGGGTAAGTACTATCGTGGTAAGTGTAATGTTGGTAAGTCTATCTTACTTTGACTGGGACTCAGACGAGCCAAAGGGTGGGTAGGTCAACCTAGTATTGCTTTTTCATTTTCATCCTATGATTTGTCTGGTGGATTTTCCTCCGTAAGATTCTTCTTCGAATATCAGGATAGTTTATCCAAATTATGTCAATCGACCGCATTTTGCGCGTCTTGTGCCATGTATGGGCATCATCCATCGGTTTCATAGTTCAGAACTTGCACAGTCGCATTCATCAACACCTGGGAGATTCATTCGGGCGTGAAAAATTATTTATTCGTCCCACTTTCCTCATCCCTGCTTCACCCTGCAGCTTTGCCACTCTTCAATCACTCAGGGCAAGCCGCACGCAACACCTATGTGTGCGCCCAAATGCCCCCAGGAGACGCCCCGTCCGAGCGCCAGGTACGAACCCTGAATAGGGGTCCCTGTGCCGGCGTGTATTCGACGGATGGACCGCCAGGCGCGCGTATTATACCCCAAATGTATCTACTCTCCTTCATGCCATAATCCTGAAACGGTCATAACAGGCCGGAAATGCTCTAATCCATGCAAACAAACCAAATCAAAAATGTCGTGCTGAGCCTGACTACATGAACAACTGCATTACCAAAATTATGAGTCATTTTGCATGAACAGTTAACGGAAGCGATCTTGGCTATGATCAAAACTCGAGCCTCAGGCCATACATAGTAGTAGTAGCATATAAGTAGAAGTAGGTACATAGGTACAAAAGACATGGGATTAACGTAAAACGTTCGTTAATGCAAAGCCAGCCATCTTCTTAATAAACAATCATCCAATAATATATATATATATATACGTAAACATGCATACATTGTTTTTACCCGCACGTATATAAATATATGCCACCGTGTTATGAAACTCCATGCTCTTTTTGGAGGCACAATCAGTCATTTGGTTTCAGCCAGTGTGACAATCGGATCCACACGTGCCTATACTTACTTCCGTTTGCTGGTAACAATTGCCTTGTATTCCGCAGGTGGAGCCGCCGACATGTCCACACCGAGCTCCGTCATAAAATTGCCCCTGGTGGTGTAAATTTGCGCCAACATGGGCGTAACTACGTCCCTGAAAAGCAAAGGGTAAGTTAAAGCCTACTGTCATTATCCGGTAACGTGACCACAACACGGACGTGCTCATCACAGTTCGCAGTAAATTAACATGATGAACAACGAGGAAAATCGATATATTTTTTTATTTAGATCCTCACTGCTCTTTACTCAATCTGCCTCACCTGTTCTGTTCAATGAGAAGCTTCAATGTGTATGGATTATCCAAATGTGCTGTAGAATCCACGAACAGGAAGAAGTCTGTCTCCGTTGCCATACCTTTGTCGCTGAAAACGTCCATGCATCAATTTTGCGGTCGATGCATGATGAAAATTTGCGACAGCAGCCCAAGAATAGGTCGGCGCAAGCGATTATTGCCTACTAATATTGTGCAGGCCTTTACAAGATGCACCATGATTATGTATCGCCATCAATTTCGTCAACGGCCTACCATGTGCATAAGCAAATAGGCAAATATCATTAACCAAAGCTGACAAAAAGCAACGAATTTAAACGCGATGCGATTAAGACAGTAGTATTAGCCTTATTCCTCGGAGAAAAAGTAGGAGAAAAGAGATATAGTTGCGCTGTATTTTGGCAACATGCCTTTATCGAAACAGTAGCGGAAATGTCATATGTAGCCAACTGACTTCTGCTATTGTTTCGATAAAGGCATGTTGCTGAAATATCTACCCAACTATATTTCCATTCTCCTGGATTTTCTCCGAGGAATAAGGCTAATACTACTGTCCCATCCATGTGAATAATGTTTCTCGTTAATGCACCGAACAACTTACGCGATACAGTTACACAGAACGTCCTGGCACTGGCCGCAAAGTGACGCATCGACGACAGTCGACGGGTTCCTGGCATCAGAAGGCCGGGGGCCACGCTAGCGAAGCGTGCTGTTCGGGACAGAACTCACATGGCTTGTGAGCGGGCGGCCCTGGAGCTGACGCCTTGCTCGCGACCCACAACCGTGACCGAGCCGTAAGCGCCGTGAACCTTCTCCGCCAGCTGCTCCACCGCGCCGTGGTGGTACTTGGCCCCGCTGTAGAGGAACAGGTCGATCTTCGCCTTGGGGTAGATGAGCTCGCGGATGGCGCCGAAGAACTCCTCCAGGAAGGGGGTCGGCTGGTCGATGAAGAGCGCCAGAAGCACGCGAGGGAACGTCTCCGGCTGAAAATGCCCACCACCGAGGAATGTTAGACCGGGCGGATTACGCCACCACGCTGTTGGGAAGACGTGGAACAATATCGGCTGGCAGCGACAGTTTGTCACGACAGACGATATGGTGGAACCTGGAAGCGAAATGCGTTTGCAAGAAGTCATGTCAATTTCGATGGTTTTTGAAAAAGGCTGGCATTTGTTGGTGGAAAGGGTACCGTGAAAATGTGTAACCCTTGTTTATGACTGGATATCATGGGGACGTGTGTACTACCTGATAGCATAACTGAAGGAGCAACTGCAAAAAGTTGCAGTTGCTGAACAACAACAGCAACAACAACAACAACCCACGTCTTGGAGACTTCCATATCCTGATGCACGGTCAAGTTCATGGTGCTCGCCGAGTGGAGCAGCATGGGAGTATGCCGCGATCGATAAATTAACGGAGCAAGGTAAGACCATGAGTGTGCATGTCTTCAGATTTGTCTCGTTTGCGGCTTCCTTCAAGTCATCCTTAACTCTCGAGGATCGAAGGCCTTTCTGTCTGCATGTTCACACCACATTCATCAGAGGTTGCACCTCATCGAGATAAAATGTTTACGCCACATCGGGCGCTTATGCTATGTGCGAGTTCGTGGGGATGCTGCCGAAGCCGGTTGTAACGTAGCCAGCGGACAGCATATAGCTGACCGCCCAGCCTCAAGTAACGATAAGCTATCATAACATAACGATAATAACGAGAGAGAGAGAGAGAGAGAGAGGAGAAGAGAGAGAGGAGAGAGAGAGAGAGAGAGAGAGAGAGAGAGAGAGAGAGAGAGAGAGAGAGAGAGAGAGAGAGAGAGAGAGAGAGAGAGAGAGAGAGAGAGATGTCTCTCTCTCTCTCTCTCTCTCTCTCTCTCTTCTCTCTCTCTCTCTCTCTCATCTCATAACGATAAGTTCATTGCCTTTAAGCGACTGCCTCTCAATCTGACCGGTTTGTTGTGGTCAGTCCGTTCATGTCGCAACTGCCGCAAAGCCCACCGGAGTCGTTGAATACTTCCTCCTAGGGGATCTACTGTGTGCTATCCGATTGGTTACGATCTGGCTGTCCCTATCCCGGTCCTTACGAATCAGATATTTCTGGCATGAAGGCGTGTCGGTGCAATGCGAAGATGCGGACTCTCCCTCTGCGCCTATGCTTGACACGCAGTCGTTAACGACACTATCTACCGGTAATTTGCTGAGGTCCCGACAGCGCCACTGGCCAACGTCACGGACCATTGGTTTCGACTGTTTCATCTAGGCTCCTGACCTTTCACTGCATAACAGCGAGGGGTGTTCTAGTTAAGAAACGGTCACGTGAGATCCCTTGCCTTCCGCATTTCGCTCCGTCTACAGCCTCGTCGAAAGGATGGACAGATCAAAGGCGATACCGGTCTCTCCCTGCCAACCAAGAACAATAATCCACTTGCTAACCTGAGACCTCGCGAATCTCCCCGTCTGGAATTATCGCAGTAGGCCTTTAAATCATAGGCTGGATTGACCTCAACCCAGCTCAACTGAAGCCTCGCCAACCATCGCGGCTCTAATCTGAGTTGACGCTAACCTCAACCAAGCTCAACGGAGGTCACACCGACCTTCGCGACGCTGATCTTGGCTGACACTGACCTCACAGCGACCGACCTGTGGCCACTGACATCTCCACTCCGACCTGAGATCAATGACATCCCCCACTGCTGACCTGAGGTCACACCTACCCACTACATACGAGTCACACCGTGTGCTACCGTCCTAAGGTTACACCGATCTCCTCTGCTCATGGCCTTGACGCTACCGACCTAACGCCAGCCAGACCTCCCCGTTAGTGCCTTGTCCTGACCACCGCCCTGACCTCCCAGCCACTGACCTCGCTGCCCAGCTCCAGCTGCCCGCCCCAGCAGGCGACGCAGCCGTCGCGCGGCTCCCAGCCGCCGGCCAGGTAGTTCCCGAGCGTGTTCAGATGCTGACGAGACTGCGCGTCGCCGTGCACCACCAGGGGCACCGAGCTGAACCGCGTGTTCTGCAGGAAGGGCTGGCGGCCCCTGTAGCGCACCACCACGTCCTCTGGTCGTGACGGAGGCAGGCCATTAGTGGCGGGCGCTGCGTGATGGTGGCGGTGGTGGGGGATATGCTAATTGCAGGTGGCTTTGTCGTAGAAATGCAGGTAACTTATGACACGTTATTGACGTTGGCGGTGGTGGGGGTGAGGATACAGCAGTGCTCTTGCCGCTTTGGTGATGCTGTAGTTTTCGCTGATAGCTGTTGCTTGCTTGTTTTTTCTGGTGAGAACAATTCTATCTAATTTATATCTTTACAAACATATATATATATATATATATATATGTATATATATATACATGTATATATATATATATATGTATATATATATATATATATATATGTATATGTATGTATATGTGTCTATATAGTGGGTTTGTGTGGTAAAAGGTTAAACTGCCACGCTCGTGCAAACAATCATGGTACAATAATTTACGTGAGGTTAGTAAAACAAGTTGGCGATGGAGCCTGAGATTTGGTGGAATGGGGTTAACAACGCTTTACTGGTCGCTGATTTTTATCTGTTTTTTACTATCGGGCAGCAAAACGACATCAACAACCTCCTGACTGCACACACATCTAAACATGGCTATGATTATAAAAGGGAAACTTCCTGACCCCAGTTAGTGCTATACTCGTAATCCCAGTAAACCACCGCCTTCGTAGACGGCAAGGAAGTAGCGGCGACAGTCGTCTAATCTGGCCAAGAGAAGCCAGCACTCCTTACCGTACGAGCCAGTGAGACCCTGCATGATGTCAGCTTTACGATCTATCCCGAGGCCGTACTTCTGCCGCTTCGCCTTGTCCAGGAAGAGGCGGGTAAAGGCCAGCTGGCCGCCGTCCGAGGTCTCCAGGTCGTCATCCGAGAGCATGCTGACCAGGTCCGGCCCGTGCCCAATGAAGGCTGCAATGGCGAGGTGTAGTGTGGCGAGCACGTTGGCGGGTGGCGCCACGAAGATCATCGATTGGTCGGTATTGTCGACAGTAAAGATTGTGGAGCCAGTGCTTTGTCAGCTGGTGTGTGAGTCTAGCGGAGTGCGCGAATAACGTAACGTACGGTTTTCCACTTTTACAGCACTCCTAGTGTACTGAATAACTTAGGTGGCGAGTCTTCGAGAACATCCTCCGACCATTGCAACACTGGATAACCGGGGCCATTGCCAATAAAAACGACACCCATGCCCGTCACCCATCAGTGACCTTCTCAGTCAATCAGTCATCATCACTGACCTCCCAAAATGCCCAGGCCCTTTGATCACCGTCACTTTAATCGACCCACGAAGTACAAACCTTGATCGATTGCATCAAAACGACCTAATTAAACATTCTGAGCGCCTGAGACAGGCGGACAGGGATTTTACGTTTAAGCAGAAGAAATGAGGTGAAGTTCCCCAAAATTGTGTAAGAATGGAGTTCCAAGTCAGCATTGTTTGGTGGAAAATATTCTTGCTTTTGGTCAATAAGAGTCACTGGGATTCGCGCACTGATCGCAGAACGCCACACATTTGCATTTGCATCGCGCTACAGCATCGCACGTACACCACAGTCACGTGGTCACAAGATCAAAACATGGGGAAAAATAATGTCCCAGTAACTTTTGGATTGAAACATTCTCAAATATTCCGTGCATAATTTTCTATCACTGCGATCCTTTCGCAGGTGATTTAAACTACGCGAGATCATGGGCTGAGACCAGTGAAAGTTCTCCAACCATTTAGCGTGTCTCTTTTAGCTGAATTAGCACCGTGAAACCATAAGCACGATGAAAATTGAATCCATGGATTCAGTATATTAGATCATGCGGTTCCTTTCTAGACCCAAATATAAGAGATGGCTTGTTTTCGATTCCCTCGATTGACTGGCTCTCCTGTGTGCAGTGCACGACTGCATGACCCGTGTTAAAATTCAAAACAGACCACTGGGAAGTCTGACGCATCTCGATTTCCAACAGGTCTTTCCGGCATCAGGTAACCGGCGGTGGAACTACTCCAGCCCATCAACTGTGCCGACCCGCTGCAAAACTAGGGAGTGACTCACTCCCGCCACCCACCGGCCACGTCGAGGAAGCGGTAGCTCTCGCTCTTGGGATACTGGTCGGCGAGCGAGGCGTCGGGCCGACAGTGTACGTTGCCGGAAAACACCACGCGCCCCTTCTGCTTCCGGAACGCGGCCACGATCTCGGCCGCCGAGCCTGCGACGATGACGTCAGAGGCGACGGCTCCGAGGACCAATGACAGTCTCCGGGGATCGACGGCCCGACGCTCCAGCGCCGCCCGCAGGCGCTTGACCTCTTGACCTGCGGCGCCCGCTGCGGCCGGCAGCGGGATGACCTGTCGCGGGGCACGAGCGGTTACCAGACCGGTTCGGCTGGGGGAGGGGACGACGCAGCGCAAAAACCGGCACCTACCAGGCCGGAGCGGCTCTTGTTGGAGCGGACACTGGTTCGGCGGACGCGGGAGGCATGCGCTGTCCAGTTTTTGCGCGGCACTTCCGCTGATCCTCATGGGAAGCAGAGCGGGGCGACGAAAAGCTACCGGCTGAGGGTCGGCGAGCGCGAAGGACAGCTTGAAAGCGGCGATGGTGGCCTGCTGTCGCACTTTTGAGAGGGTGTTTGCTTGTCAGCCGCACTGATGCGTTAATATTCAAAACTTGCATTTTTAGAGATACCAGCTGAGTCGGATGACTTACTGTTTGACCCTTAGAACCGTTTATTCTGCGAGCAGTTGCCTCACGTTATGGCAAGTGGTATAGGAAATGCTGCGATGTGTTGTCGTGCAAAGGTTGGAACGATGCACACAAATATAAATTTTCTTCAGCGCCGCACAGACGGTGCGAGGCGTAAACTGCTGCGTTACCAGCACTTGGCAGGAAGTTTTAATGATATCAAATGACAACCATTCGGGAAGCCGGGTGTTTGCTAACACGACCTGAGCTGCATACGCAAATGCGTGCAGGCACACTAGCGTGCCGACACCTGAAGCTTTCCGAGCGTCACACACGAAGGAACGACACTGCACAGGGGTTCCACCAACCTCGATTCCAGTCTGGTTAGCGGACCGCAGGAAGCGATTGTATCCGTCCGAGGTTCCATTCGCCGTGGTGAAAATCAGCAGACCTGCGACGGGAGAGCACCGTAAGCGAGTCAAGAGATTAAACACCCGTGAACACGCCTGAAGAGCGGAGTGTTCTGCCGGAACGGTTATCTATTAAAGCGCTGTGCGACGCTCGCCGCCGTGCAGTATGCTATGGAGGGTCAACAGCCGCGGTGGCCTAGCCAGGGATACGGTACTCGAGCCGTAGTGACCTTGGCCATGAGCTGATGACGTAACACATAAAGGTACGGGGCGCTTCCAACTGAGCCATTTCGCTCCAATGTGCCAATCGTTTAACGCAAACGTGAGGCGGTGCCGGTGTCACCACGATGCTGATATCATGCGACGTGATAGCACAAGACGGCGGATTATGTGGTTTATGGTGCAGCGCGTAGTGCGATGATCTTGGACGTCATGCACCAGACGGGCAGTCCGACCCGGTAGTGCTCTTTTCCGGCTCGCATATTTTCGCGAACCGAGCGAATTTCTACGGAAGTTAGCGTTTTACGAGACACCGGTTTAATCCGTGTCGGTTTCTGCCTCGGGGACGGGGTCAGTGTCTGAGGTTCACGTGCGGACCGGTTGGATCTGCATTGCGCCCGCTGACCTCGTGACCTTTGGAGGAATACGCGTGGAGCGCGCACCCGACACTGAGAATGCGGGGCTCAGACAATTTCCTCCAGTGTGCCCGTCGCTAGACACCGGCTGGTTTTACTGCAATGCGGCTGAATATTAAATAAAAGCTGCCGGTGAATGTTTGCTGTTGTCGTTGTTTTGCAGAACACCTTATGGCAGATGGAATACTTTGTCCAGCTTCAGCTGATAATGATGACAAATCTGGTAGCAATTTTTGGGAAGCTCATCCGATGATGGTGTGGTTTACCTGCGACTTGCGGCTTGTTATGGTTCTGCACATCGAGAGCATTCGCGGTCGAAGCACCTCTTCACCCTCCAGCAGCGTCATGCAGATGCATGCGATGTGAATGGCAGCACTATCCTCAGATAAACTACAAAACCTTCGCCATTGCGCTTTTAAGAACGGATGCAGTAAGACAAGAAAATGTCTTAAGTGGCCAGGTGAGTTCGAATCGCTTTATGCGCTCGCTATTTGACCTTGACAGGCATGGCCTGCAGCCGGCTGCAGCGGCCGCGATAGTCAGATGACGTCAGAGGGCAGGACGGACCGTGCCGAGCGTTGCGGCACGTCAAGCTTTCGCCACCAAAATTTGCGGTTGGCCTGGAACTGCGCCATCGGATGGCAGGGGTCAGAGCTCACACATTAGGTACTGCTTCGCGTCAGCTCTGATCCCGGAAGTCCATCCATTCAAAACGTTTGGATTTAATTGTAAGAAAAAGGGCAATGGGGCGCATGGCGAGGTGAGCCTGAGCACGAATGTGCAGATCGTTTCCAGCAAGGCCGGCCTAGAATCGGAGATACACCACACTGTAACCCATCCTTCAAAACGTTCATGTCGGTGCCCCTATTATTGAGACGCACTTTGCAAACGTTGCAATAGCCAGTCTGCCTATATGGCCGCACTAGGAAAGTTACCTTTTCATTCAAACTGCGCGATTTTGTTTCCTTGCTGTCTCACCGCTCCTCTGCTTCCTCACCACCTTCATTACCCCTGCTCCCCCCAATTGGAACTGCAAGCATACTTAAAGGGTTGGAGCGGTTCACTGCTCTCACCGCTGTAACCGCAAACCACTGCATCTTCGAGACATGTTTCACCATTCAGTCTAGAATCCACGGTCGCTGGCTTTCAAACCAAACGATCTTGAGTTAGCCTCGTATAGCTAGGTAAAACATCACCCACCTAACTTCTGGGCTTTGGTCGGGAACCCTAGCTATGTCTTTGATGGAAAATCAGTTTCTCTGGCCGTGGGTTCGCTGGCCGTTGTATCTGCCTGTTTTCACGTGCCGCCTTTCGCCCGCCCCACAGCACTGTGGCTTCGGATGAAGGTTACGGAGGCAGGAAAAAAAACGATGATAAAAATATAAAAAAACGATGCCGCGTTCTGAGCTTGTCTTGTCCCAAGGCTCTTGTTCAGTACTCTGTGTTATTTTGTGTAATAAATAATGTTTCACAAAGCAAGTATACTTCTTCGTGTTCTGTAGCTTTTTCATTGCATGGCGTTTCTTACCGCCAAACAGCGGTAACGTTATCCGTGGCGACCCTGGTTCCCAAAACATTATGTTATTTTAAGCTTTCTGCACCAGATGTTGTAAAGACAGAGCACCTGATCGCACGTTTAGCCACCCACGATGGTGAGCAGCGCAAACAATGCCATGTGTCGTGCCAAATGCCAAACAGTTTTTTAGAAAGCGACCAAATTTCCTGACAGCTTTCTGAGGGGTAAAATGATCCCCTCTGGAACTAGCGGGGCGTTGCAGAATGGTTATAAAGGGTAGCAGAAAGACAAGTGGCAAGGATTACACATCGTTCGAACTACTCTATCCTCTCATAGAGAATATTTCAATGGTGTTTTTAAGGACGCCTCCAGTGCCTGAGATGCTATCAAAGGGGGTGGGGACATCTCAAGGATCATCTAGTAAGGGAAAGAGTGTGAGTTGCGCCCGCTGACGAAAAAACGGGATGTGTGAGTCAAACATAACACAAACCACCTTGCATTATCATAGTTGAAATATTCGTCCGGAAACGCTTCCCGCTCTCGTCAGTCCATGTTCGTAAGTCATCAGAAGCCGAAGTTCTTTGCTTCTTACGGCCGGGGGGTGGACCAATTGACATTCAAATGCCCCCGACTGGCGCAATTAGCTGGAAAATTCATAAATTCACACACAGCGTGTAAAACGTCAGTGTTGTTAGGCTCAGGATACTTACACCGAAGAGAGTACATAAATTTTGCATTAAGTAAATCAGATGTGTTGAAACTTGAAACGTATGTGTGACTGAGTTTATAGATAGCTATTTGTATATGTATATATATATATATATATGCATATACATATAAATGAATGCATACATATACTTGTAAACACACACACACACACACACACACACACACACACACACACATATATATATATATATATATATATATATATATATATATATATATATATATATGACATCATTGCTTGTTTTGAACTCATCCCGAGCATCAAGCACATGCTGCTGGTTGTAAAACGTCAATACCAAGTCGCATGAGTCTCATCATGGATGGATTACGTCAAGTCGTTATCACGTCAAACCATGCAATTCCACAAATCTAAGAAGACATTTCGGCGTTTGTATTCCTTGCAGCACTGCACGTGTCTGCTAGTGGTTTATGAACGGTTGAGTGCTGTGCTCGACGAACCAAGGAAAGCATGTTTTCACACTTCCACAATCTGATTTGGCACGTTATTAGATATAAACAGAGATCGAACGAATACTGTACCGCACCCTATCAACTGCGCCTCAGCTCTAAGAGCTCGAAATAGCTGGGCAGTTGATATGCTGGACTCACCCACCACGTATGTTTGCAGGAACGTCTAAACGCGGTGAGAACAGCACTTACCACCGCTGGAGTCTCCAGAGCTCGCAATCGGAGTCGCCAGCAAGGCCAGCAAGGTCAGCAAGGTCAGGAGCACTCCGCCGAGCCCCATCTTCGCCCCGGTGTCCGGTGCGAGACTCCGTCAGTGGCTGCCTGGCAGCGCTGCTCTCACCGCCGCACTTCGCCTTCCTGCACGAGCGGAAGCGGCCGACTGCGGCGGGGTGGCGTCGCGGTCCGTTCCGGTCCGTTCCGGTCCGGTCCGGCCCGGTGGGTCCGGTGAGTCCGGTGGGACCAGCACCCGGGGCCCGAGCGCCGCCAATGCACGCGCGGAATCGGGTCACAGACCTGGAGCCGACTGACCGGTCGCGGCCGCAAAAGAGGTCATCACGTGCCCATTGTCCAGAGGGGGATTGGTGCGGTCGTACGATTCGCGAGGCTGCGGACACGTGGTTTGGACAAGGCTTAAGGTAAGTTCTGCAGACTGGGGAGGGAGCGCGGAAGTCGTGATGCGATACGTCAATACGCGTAGCCTTCGCCTTGAAGGCCATACAACTATTTGTCGTGGTGTTGTTACGTGAGCCGCGCCAGGCAAATGCTAGACACGAGGCTGTCATGCCTCAAAGGCATGTCCATGCAATTGTGTAAGGGTTGATGAATTTGAAGTGGTCATGGCTTTGCGTCAGTAAGGGCCGCGCGTGTGGCTGGCAAAGCCCTGCGCTGCCTCTTGGCTGGCCATTTCAGCCCAGCCCTGCGGGCGCCCGTCTGGCGACCTATCTGTGTGACGAAATGCAAACTGCGGCGTTTGGCGACGTACCCATGTGACAGAACACAGACTGCGACGCCTGGCGACCTACCTGTGTGACATGACACAGGCTGGATCGTCTGGTGACCTATTGGGGTGACGTCACACAGACTGTGACGTCTGTCGACCTACCTGTGTGATGTCAGAGGCTGTGACGTCGGGCGACCTACCTGTGTGACGTCGCACAGACTGTGGTGTCTGGCGATCTACCTGTGTGACGTCGGGCGACCTACCTGTGTGACATGACACAGGCCGTGGAGTCTGGAGACCTACCTGTATGACGTCACGGGCTGTGACGCCTGGCGACCTACCTGTGTGACGTCACGGGCTGTGACGTCTGTCGACCTACCTGTGTGATTTCAGAGGCCGTGACGCCTGGCGACCTACCTGTGTGACGTCACGGGCTGT